TTCATGAAAGGGTGATGAGTGATTGGCATTTAATTTATCCATCAATCCTATCAGTCCATCAGAAACATTTCTTTAGTAAGAAACACTTTTTCACAGATTTTGTGAAAAGAAAACAGCAGAGCATAGAACCCACTTGCCCTATCATACATAAGGCGACTCCTGGAAAAAGCTATCTAATTATTCTCTTGGAGGTATGATAACTCTGGTTAACATTTATATCAGCTTATTTATTAATCTGCTAATGGCAATGCTGGTTAAAGGCAAGACTGAATACCTACTGTACCCATGACAAAGTGAGTCTGGTGGAAGAGAAGCACTGCATTCAGTACTTATCCAAATAGCTTGCAAGAATACAAGAAGATTCTGTTTGGATCATTTCTTCCTCCAACGGTAATCATCTGGTGCTCTTACCATTTGTAAAACTATCTTTTAACTCATCAGCTTCTACCAAAATGTGATTACTTGTCACAAGTTTAATCATATTCAGTTCTATCATTTGCTGACAACTGCAGTTGTTGATGTTCAGTCTGCATCAGATTTTCAAGCCACTCATCAATTCTGCATGAGAAACCCCACTCGTCCTTCCATGTTACCAAAACAAAAATTTATCAATCCACACCTGGTCAGCTAAATACTCTGCAGAGAGTCTGGAATATAGTGAGCACCTCCTATTTGGTTCTTGAATAGCTGCCATTGTCAAGGAGATCCAACATGGACTCAGCTAAGCCAGCTCAGCCTTCTACATACTATGGCAACAAGAGTCTGACAACAAGACCCTCAAGTCAACAAAAGGCCTAGCTTTCAGAGTAGTTGTTGTCACCACACTCCTGCTGTACATTGACACTGTTGTAACTGACACATAACAGCACAAAAGAAATTCCATCATCCATGCCTCCTCTACATTCTCCATCTCTATAGGGTGGTGGCCAAGTACACTTTAGTGTCCTCCCACTTGTAGCTAGTTCCACAAGCATTCAGATAAACTTCTTGCAAAATCAATTTCAATGAACTATGTAATAACTTGATAGCCAAAAACTGTCTCCATCTTCCTCGTTCCATTTTTTCGACTCTCAAATGGACAATGTTCAAGAGAAAGACAAATAGAGCACTTCAAAAACACTGAAAGATTCCCTTGGCAGAAATTCACAACCGAGTGGACATTATCCTCGAGTCGAGGGACAACTGACAATGGCAGAACGTGTGTGTGTGTGTGTGTGTGTGGCCAAGCACAACCAATGACATTGTTGAGAGAAAATCATAGACCTGCTCTTGGAGCAGATAGTATAGACACAACAGAGTGGTTTTAAAAACTGGTGCTGAAGATAGTATCAGTAAGAGTTAAACTGTAGTGTAGATTTCAATAAAACTGAAGAAAAGACTTATACTAACACATTATATTCACTGCTGGCAATATACAAAACAGACAAATACAGCTAAGTGTTACACTTAAAATAGCTAATTATTAAACAAATTGCAAATGTTATTTTATCTAACTACATTTTCTTTCAATAGTTTAATTGGTATACTTGTGAGTAAAACAGTCATGCCTAGCACAGGGATACTGACTGCTAATCATCGTGATCGATCATCCCTGAAGTTCTGGCTTGTGTCCTAGATCCAACCATCTTCAACTGTATAATCTATTACCTTCCCTCCAGCAAATCAGATTGTGTTGACATTTGGAGCGTGTTGAGTTCCATTGACAACTCCTGAGGTAAATGAAGCAGTCCATGCTCACAAGCAGGGTCTGGACAGCTGACACGTAGCATCCCACCAAAGCCTCTTCAAACCCGTCACCTCCAATACCTAGGACAAGTGAGGCAGATGCATAAGAACACCAAGACCTCCAAGTCTCATCAACCTGACTTCTGTTACATCATTTGCTCATAATTAAAATTCTGGAACTCTATATCTAAAGTTGAGAGATTATCTTCATTACAGGTAGATTTTCCATCGCCACACAGTCAAAGGCAACTAGGGATGGGGAAGAGACACATGCCCTGCCTATGACACACATTCTCGGAGTTAACAAAATAAAATTCCAATGTTATCTTACATATTTGTGCAAATGCATCCATATCTCATGGAGACACTGCCACATTTATGGGCATATTACACATCTTTATGACATTTTAAGGAACATGCCGTTCGACTTCAGAGTTGTTCAAACAATGAGTGAGAACTAGCTAGCTGCAATGACTTAGAAGAACAATGGCAAGCCTCACCTTTCATGATACACTATAGATGTTGCAGTACTACAGACTCCATTCAATGAAGAGAGATTGTGCCTGGTCCTTAAGAATTAAGTTCCAAATAGCCTGGCAATTATCCAAGCGCAAGGTCGAGTTTATAGACATTAGCTGTAATATCACATTTGGTCTCACTCAGGGTTGTACTCAACAAATGATACAAGGCTGACAGATGTTACATCTATTATGAAGCTCATCACGTTTTACTTTGTTGCCCACGATGTATGAACGAGTACACAAGCCTGAAATGTGCGTAGCGATGCCTTAGTCTCTTCAATTTATGCTCGCTACAAAACATGACTATAAATTTTAGCTTTTAACCACTGAGTTGTATCGATAAACTTTACATAAATCAAGTTCCATCGTGGGTATTTGGGTAGCTATATTCAAACAGCCATTTAGACAGCACTTAAGACTGGGGAATATCAATGGGATGGAGTGGCTTCAACCCCCTCTGTTTTAAACACAAACTCAAATCTAGAAACATCTATGAGCTCTATTACTTTCACCAATTATAGCCCACTTTTAAGTAGTTTGGTTTGTGTTTAGTACCATTTTCCAGCTGACAGAAAAACATAGAAAATCAGTGCAGCAGTGGGCCAGTGGGCCATTCAGCCCTCTGAGCCTGCAACACCATTCAATACAATCATGGCTGATCATGTAATCTCAGTATCCCATTCCTGCCATTTCTCCATACCCCTTGATCCCTTTAGCTGCAAGGACCATGTCCTGCTTCCTCTTGAATATATCTTATGAACTGGCCTGAACAGCTTCCTATAGGAGAGAATTTCACAGATTCACAACTCTGAGTGAAGAAATTATTTCTCAGCTCAGTCCTGAATGGCTTATCCTTATTCTTAGACTGTGACCCCTAGTATGGTCGAAAAATGAAAATTTTTCACCAAGATCAAGACTGCCATCTCCAATACCCACCCAATTATGCTTTTAACCAATACACACAGCCTGTTAAAATAATTTATAGCTTATAGCTTACAAGCTTACCTTTGTGAACTGGTGAGTGAATGGCTTTAAGAAGCCACACAATTTTCAACGGGCTCAAGAGCTGACTGATATTATTGCATTAATGATGTAGTATTTTAACAGATTCAATAATTCACATCCTGGATTGAGGCCATTAGTAATTAGCAAAAATAAATAGTTTTAAAAACAAACATTGCAATAAAATGGTAGAAATCAATTAGGAATTTTATACATACTTCATTGGAAAACCACAAAACAGAATGCTTAACCACTAACAATCTAATAGTCATCTGATTGGTGGATTTTGCAAAATTATTTTAGTGTCATCTTGTGGCTCAGTCTACAATTGAATCAGATGTTGCGCCACACGACACCACAGAGTTCAGGTGCCCAACAGGTACAAAAGAAATTTAAATTTTAAAGGCTTGGTAGTATACCTACTTGGTGGTCATTCCAGAAATGATTCCAAATAACTGCCCTACTGTATGAATTTACTAATAATTGGCTTGGATTCTCAAGATCTAAGATCCAAAACCGGACAACACAAAACAGGAACCTTTAAGCAGAAAGCAATGCTCCAAGTGTGAAACCATCAGTGGGTTACTGTTTCCAAAGGCATTGAGTGAACTGCAGCCCCAGGTTCTTACACTATAGGACTTGCCCTGATTCATCAAAAATACGGACATATCAGTAAAAGGAAGCTTATTCAACTGGCATTGACAATTCTTAGGACCACACAGGACTATCATTCCAGTATGATCTGTGACCATCTAGCCTTGGAATCATTAATTCATCATTTATCCTGAAGATTTTATGATTTATCTTCTACTTCCAATGATAATATATAATTGGCTTTAAAGTATCATTAGATTCTTGCTCTTATTGATATATTTTTATCTTATTCCAGTATTTTGATCTTATTAATATCAATATGCTAAGCAAAAAGACTTAAAGTACACTGCAGAACAGAACTGAAAGATACATTAAAAAAAACACCGACAAATGCTCGTTCCCAAAGAAAGATGTACTTAATTTTAAGAAAATTTTAGGACTGGTTTCTAAAATCAACACTCCTCAAATGAACCACAAAATCCTTCTGCATTACATTTTCACAACTGAAGTATTGGCTTTTTTCATTGAAAACAAAAATCACATGACCATTCAATCGAATAAAATCAACATTTTACCTTACAGCACAACTGCAGGTCATAGTGGTGTTGAATAGAAATCTTACATCACAAAGGTAGGATTTACGTATGCAATCCCCACATAGCCCCTAGACCCTGCTGAGAGTTCAGGGGAGGCACAGAAAGATAGTAAAACACTGAGCTTTTCAGACAACCTGCTATCACATAACCTAACAACACCGTCCAGTGAATAGAGTGCTGAATAATGAAGATAAATAAGAAGGGGAGAGTTCAGAGATATTGAAAATAATAACTGTTAACTCTGACATCAATATTGGCATCTTCCAATCCAGTTTAACTTGCAGCACAGATCACAAGTTGTGTATTCTAAACTTGTATTTCACAGCAACCATATTCGTAATATTACTACAAAAGCAGCAAGTTTAAGAGTCCTAATCCCAATTTTTGAAAAGGTTGCATCAAACTCTCACTCGACTTGTGTTATTTCAAATCAATGGGAACATTATATTCTAAAAATAACGCTGCTCCACTTCTTGAATTATACAAAGTTTCTGATTTTTTTTTGTCCACCCCTGAACATTCTGGTGCTGTAAAGTAATCAAAAAGACAAGAGAGATCCTTCTACAGTTGAATGGAGTAGTTTTATTTATAACGTTTCAACATAGCAATTATGCAAATAAATGTCATCCAAGCAATTTGCAGTTACAATCCATCAAGTTCACAGGATTCTTTTTTAAACATTACTGTTTAGAACAGAATTGTACAGAAATTGTCAATACAATGATACTGTGATATTGCGTTCAGGCAGAGGGGAAATGAGTTCAGTGTCTTCTTTCGTTGGATCCTGCTGCATCGTTTCTGCATTGCTCTAAATGCTGCAATAGAGGAAAGTTATTGCATCACAGCAAAATTACAAAGCATAGCATTTACAAAAAAATTGAAAAATCACAATTTTGGTCCATGCTCTTAACCTGTCTTACCAATTCACTTCCCACTCCGAGGTAAAGATAGACCGATGAATCTATTCAATGGAGACAACACTGCAGAATTGTGAAACAAGAGAAAAGGCAGACACACAGACTTGACTACACTGTTTAATGTACAATATTAGGAATAAAACAGAAGAAACTATAAACTATTTTAAAAACCTTCCATTGGTTTACCCTAAGTGACAAGATGATTTCTTCTGGCCACTATAATAGTGGCAACCAATTACAGAAGAGCAGTGTGCTTAAAAAAAGGAAACTACACTCCTTCACCCAGTTAACAACTGTTGCAACACAAAGCCTTCTGTCATCTTCAGCAGCCGAAGTCATTGCTTAGAACATCCCCATACTTATTTAAATATCAATTTGTTTTCAAGTGGAATGCCTGCGCCCTGGGTGCCTGTTACAACATAATGCAACACCATGCAAAAAGAAACAAAAATATAATCCTACACAGCACTTATAAAGTGATTGAAATCTTTGCTGGAACTTTACAGCATGCATACCTAAAAAAAGACCCCACTCCCACCTCCACCAAAAAAAAATCACAATTTCTTTACAAAAAAGTCAGGGAGGCAGACAGGAGTAGGATACAAAGCTCAGGACTTAGTCTGCAGATCAGAAAAGAACAAGGTTTTGTGCGCTTCACTATTTGTTACTGAATACGATATCCATCCTGCAGCGTAGACGTTTTGCTCTTCTGTCAGAATTATTTTACAATATTACTTTGTTGACCGAAGATTCCTTGCACTCCTGCGACGTGGCTGCTTGGCCTGAATGTTTGCAGACTCATCCAATTCATGCTTTTCATTTGTTTTAGTAGGGGTCTGAGTGGACAAAGCAGCCTTTCCAGCTTGTGCTGCTCGTCTAGAGGATGTACGCGAACTGCCACTGCTCTTGCAGTCCTCTCTAGGGTCTGTTTTGCCACTGCCAACAGCTTCTGTTAATTGACAAACACTTGATTTACTTTCCTTTGGTGCCATTTCTGATGTGCTGTCATCAGCATTTTGAAGCTGTGGGGACCGTGTTAGGGCTTCTGCTATACTGTCTGCTATTGCAACATTTAAGGTGCTAATCTGACTGTCACTATGCCTAGTCTGATCGGAAATACAAACTTTTTCACTTTCAGACAGATCTTCTGGTTCAGGAAAGCTGCTCCTACCATGATCTTGCAGCTGTATGGCTACAACATTTACCTTATTATTGTTATCATGCTGCTTAGTCTGCTGTGAGCTGCTCATTTCTCTACATTGCTCTGCAGGTTTAGGAATATCCTGCTGAGTACCAAACTGCTCAGCCTGTAGTAAAGTGCTCGCATCGATATCCTGCTTCTCCTTAAAATGGATGCCTTCTCTCTCACAAGGTTTAATTTGTAATGTGTCCGTCAACTCTATTTCTTGCTGATTTGGGATAGGACCACTGTTTACATTGTCATCGCATAGATCAGACTGCAGCAAATTGTTCATTTCACTATTTCCAATTTGACCTATTTTATGGCCACCTATTTCTTCAACCCTTGCTGGCTCCACTGCACTAAATTGCTGCTGTTCCATAATGCCATCTAATATTGAGGTATTTATTTTTACATCTCCCACTTCATTCACCGGACTGATGATGCTGAAACCAACTTCATACTGTTCTATGGTGCCATCAGATATGAAAGCATCCACTTTTATATCTTTAACCTCATCAACTGGTTCAGAGACAATTAAGTCAGTATCATACTGGTGAACATCTACTTGCACATCCCTAACCTCATCTATTTCTTCAGAGATCCTCAAGTCAGTATCATACTGGTGAACATCTACTTGCACATCTTTAACCTCATCGACTGGTTCAGACATATTTACATCAGTATCATACTGGTGGAAATCTACTTGCACATCTTTAACCTCATCTACTAATTCAGAGACATTTACATCAGTATCATACTGGTGAACATCTACTTGCACATCTTTAACCTCATCTACTGGTTCAGAGACGTTTAAGTCAATATCATATTGGTGAATATCTACTTCTACATCTTTAACTTCATCTACTGGTTCAGAGACATTCAGGTCACTATCGCACTGTGCTGACTGATTTGCAGTGTTGTTTAAGGCATGGTTGTCCAGTTCCATATCTATATTCGATTTTGGAGCATTACACACTTCCAGACGATGTTCTGCAGTACTAACTAAGGCATGGGCTTCCTCTTGAAACTGTTCAGTCAGATTGGAAATGTTTAGGTCATCATTCACAACAACATCTAGTTTGCAAGTATCATCAACATCTCCTCCTCCTATAGCAGTGAGTGCAGGGCGTACACTCCTGTTCTCTGTACCAGTAAATACAGAAGTAACAACTGCTACATCCTTAACCTCGAGTGTGCTTGAACTAATCAAATCATCACACTGTTCAGGCTGTTCTGAAATATTTGACACAAGAGCATCAATATCCATGTCCTTAGCTTGTTCAACGGTGTTGGAGAGGTCAGATCGTTGAGACTGTTCAGCACCATCTAAAATGGAGGTTTGCAATTCTACATCCTGAACTTCCTGTTCTGAATTGATGCCTGCATGATCATCCTGCTGTGGATGTTCTTCATTACACTGTAAGACCGGGGCATTCACTTTTGCACCGTATAGTTTTTCTGATAGCAACGTGGATATTTCTAATCTAGCAACTTCTTCTGTTTGTTCTGCAGAGTTAATTATTAATTTTCCAGCTGAGCTTTTTTGGTGAGCAGTCGCCTTGTCACCTTTATTTTGTAATTCTGTTGCAGATGTGCTGCAATCATAATCTGCACATGACCCTGTGCCTTGTTGATCAGATATACCCCTCCTTTCAACTTGTTCGTCAGTTTCAATTTCACTGCTCTTACCCCCAGTGGCAGGTTTGGGAACAGCTGTGGTGGTATTTTCAGGGTATATTAGTTCCTCAAGTTTTCCATCCCTACTTTTGACTTGTCCTGCTGTGGACTTCAGAGTACCTGATACTAATTTGGCAGTTTGAGCACTGTTGCCAAGTTTATCGACCGGGGTCTTCCCGGAGCTACTGTAATAAATACCATACAAATCTTTAGCATTAGCAGCAGCCAGACAGGTTTTGGGTTTCTCTGACTTCTTACTGGAGTCAGTGAGAGACATAGCCAGTGGTGGTGGTGGGCGGACTGGAACAGCCAATATAGTTTGCTCACATTCAGACACTCCAGGGGCTGGTTCTTCAGCCAAATGATCAGGTTCTTTATGTACATCCAGAATGCTTCCTTTCAAAGTCACTTCCTCGCCACCAAAAGCCCTGGAGATCACATCAGGAGCTAACAATGCTCCGGCCTTAACTACAGGTAGTGGTTTGTTAGAAGTTCCTGAAGATCGAATGGAGAGGAATGTATCCAAAGGCGCTGGTTTATTTACAGACGACCCACTAGCCTTCCTCAGTGGCACATTAGCCACAGGAAGATTGGGACGGATTTTTGCCTGTGTCGTTGTACTTACTGAAGTGAATGGTACCCAGGGGCTGGTATGAGCAATAAGAGTCTTTCCAGAGAGTTTAATTTCAATCATCTTGGACGTAGATTTTCCAGTCTGCCCCTTACCATCATCTTTCTCTTTGCTGCCTTCAATATTTTCCTCCTTTACTCCTACTGTGCTGACTTTTTCCTCTTCTTTCTCAGGTTTCTTCCAACTGAATTTTCCGAAGGGTGAGCCTTGTTCCTCATCTTTCTTGTCTTCAACCTCATCCTTTTTCAGCATCAGTTTTATACCTGGCTTGCTACTGAGGTCTATTTTGTGGGAGGACGAACGGTCACTCCTTTCTTCTTCTAGCTCAGTAACATTCGCACCCTCCTCCTTAGCCAGTCTGATTAGTTTTGCCTTCCTCTCATCGCTCTCTTCCAGCCTTTTCTGTTTCTGAATCTCTTTCTCTTCATCTAATTTCCTCTTCAGACCTGCCTGACGCCGGCGCTCTGTCTCAGTAATCACAACTAAGCCAGCCTGACGATCTAGGTTTCTCCTTTGTTCATACACAGGATTCTCATTTAAGTATGCCTGTAAAAAAATAGAAAGAAATGCAGTTACTCTAAGAAAATATGCACCATTTACAGTTTTAATCAAAGAAGAGGTTACTTACTTCTCAATAACCAACACACAAAAACTCAACAAAACTTCAGTTGTTCTGTGTATAATTCTTCTCCTTGCTTAAAGGAAACAAAATAGTTTATTCCTTTGGGAACTTTAACAACTCAAAACCCAAAATAATCTTCCTGTTCATTGTCCCTTGTTTATAAAGCATTTGAACGTTTCTCGTTTCAAAGCACAAACAAATGCATCAGCAAATGATTATAGCTTAATAATATGAGGGGACAATAGTGGAAACAGGATTTGAGTAATTAACCCAAGAGAGGAACCCACGAGAAGGCAGTAGAGAGTCAAATGCTTAGCACTATGGTTCCAATGGTATTGGTACTATTAGAAAAATGTTAGGGAGGGAATTCCAGGATTTTAACGCAATGAAGAAAGTGACAGAACATAGAACAGTACAGCACAGTACAGGCCCTTCGGCCCACAATGTTGTGCCGAACTTTTACCCAAAACCTAAGGTCTATCTAACCTCCACCCCTACGTTATACTTTCATCCATATGCCTATCTAATAGCCGCTTAAATACCCCTGAGGCCAACTCCACTACCCTCTCCAGCAACGCATTCCACGCCCCGACCACTTTCCGAGTAAAGAACCTACCTCTGACGTCTCCCCTATATCTACCTCCACTCACTTTAAAACTATGGCCTCTCGTAATAGCTATCTCCACCCTAGGAAAAAGTCTCTGGCTATCCACTCTATCTATACCTCTGATCATTTCGTACACCTCTATCAAGTCACCTCTTGTCCTTCGTCATTCTAAAGAGAAAAGCCCTAGCTCTCTCAACCTTTCCTCGTAAGACCTTCCCTCCATTCCAGGCAACATCCTGGTAAATCTCCCCTGCACCTTTTCCAACGCTTCCACATCTTTCCTATATATTTCCCAAATCTCAAATATGCTAAGAGACTTGGAAGTGATCCATTTGCCATGGGTTTTTACTTCTTGTCCTTCCAAACTATAGAAGTCACTGATTTGGGAGGTACAGGCTCACCATGGAAAATAAACAAAATTAGCAAGCCATAAAGCAGTTTGTATGGATAGGTTTAGCATAGGCCTGTTAAGGATGCAGGTTCAGTAGGAGAACAGCTTGGCAGGAAGGCTAACAGGCTCAACATAGAAAACAGGGAAAGTGGGGGAGGATACATGAAGCAATGAAGAGGAAGGATACTGGAAAGGTCTGGGAATAGTTGAAAGATACAGGATAGTGTTGGAAAGGACAGGTTAAATCAGGCCTTAAATCACTTCTCTTTCCCCCCTAGTTTTCAAACTTGGACATGATATGCAAAGCCACCTTTATTCCTCGACGAAAATTCTGCACTGTGGGAGGGTTCCAAGGAATCAGCAATCCTCCAGCAGTAGACCATGCATGTAGACATGAATGTCGGACAGACTTTTTACCAGTAAAGGGAATGAATGGGAATAATGAGGTGCTAAAGAAACAACACACCTAAGACAAATCCAGTCCATAATAATCAAGATCTGAAACATGAGAAATATAGCACCAACGATTAAATACAGGAACTTCTTGGGTTGTGTAGGTTAGTGTGACACCATGAAGTGTTTTTAATCACTGAGCTGTTCTCAATAAACCGGTATAAACCTGATCTTTCTAGAGACCCAGCAGTGGTAACCACTCTGAATTGGGTGGAAGAAATGCAATTTGACCATTAATGTGCATGTTTTCATGAAGCCACCATCATGGTACAGATGTCTGTGCACACACAAACATGTGTACTTACATACATACACACACACACACACACACACACACACACATTGATATATATATATATATATATATACAGGATGGATAGTTTTGGGCCCCATTAGACACTACCCACACTGAAATTAAACATTTAATCAAAGAATGTACATCTTGCGCAACACATGCGTACAGGCATTCTTGAACTTCTCGAGGTAAATATTTGCATATCCAGAAACCTCATCTAAACTGTGTTCCCCCTTACAGTGCCAGAGTTATTAGAATTTAGTATTTAACTGGGAGAGTAGCAAAGCATCTACTGCTCATTAGTACAGTTATTTCGCATCATTTTATTTCACAATGAATTACCACAGATCATCCATTAATGGTCGTTGGAAACCTACTAAATGAGACCACCGCCAAAGTATTCATTTTATTTGTATTCCTCTCGCAGTAGAGCCGATAGAGAATATGAAAAAGTCTTGTATTTAAGTGTGAGTGATGAGAGGTATTTGGGCATCTTGGGCTGCTGATCAAGCTGTTTCTGTACACAAGTTGGTCCATAAGGTCAAGACTGGTCAGAAGTAGCTACTTTTGCTTCTCACTATCATATTAGGTAAGAATACTCCACCGGATTTAGTCAATTATTGAAACCTCTCCAAAACTAAAACCATTTTCTATCAATGTTAAGGTCTAATGGTCAGAAACAGCATCAAAGCTGCGTTGTCCAATCATTACACATCTCGAACACACAATTATTCGCATCCACTGTAATGCTTCAGAAATTATTTCCATTGATTAAAAACAAGGAGATGCCTGATAGAAAATGCAAGTGCCTATCCTTCTTCTTTAGCAACTGCAAGAAGGTTTGAAAGAAACACTCAATTAAAAACAAACTTACATTCTAAAATCTTTCACAACCTCAGGACAACCCAAATATCTTTAATGTTGATATAATACTTTTGAGTGTGGTCACTGTTGTAATGTAGGAATTAGAAGAAAGAAATTATAGAGACATAATTCTGTGCAAAAAAGATGACAGTGCATATATATCCTACTGAGTTATGTGCTGTGTGCTTAAGGAAGTTGGGACACAATTAGTGGACCATAATTCCAGTGCATAATGTTCCAGACTGTTATCTCCATTCTGGAAATGCTTTACAATCATTCTTCCTAACCTTATATTTATCATTGTGAGCACGTGATTTGACATGATCTTCAGCGCAAATCTGATCCCCGTAGAACTCCTCACAGAGCTGGCAGTAAAATCCAGTGACTGGCATCAAAAATTCTGAACCTGAGACAAGGCGAAAGGTATAGAGTCAGGAGAAGAGATGAAACACAGAAGAGTCATATAATGATGTAATAAAAACACAAGGCCCATATTTAATTACATCAAGCTACGGTGTGACTTTACTCTAAGTTAGACTTATCTACAAAGTAATCACCCTAATTAAATCATTGCTGTTGCTTGACAGTGACCTTTTTTACCAAAAGGCAATGCATTATTGGAACATATTCTGTGGGCATTAACGGTTTACTGATATCATGGCTGAATGGAACCTCAATGATGAATGGGTTACTGGATCACTTAGATGGAGGTTCTGAACCTAGACGCCATCTGGAGGTGTGCAGTTCTAAGTAGTTGTTATGCAGAGATGAATTTTCACCCACCTAGCCTATAGAGTGCTGAAATCAACTGCACCAAACTTTGCATCTATGTATTTAAAATACATGGTAGCTACGTTCTCACTATTATACAAACTAACCTGCCTTAACAGGTACATGAGGTTTTCTCATTCACCAATGAATCCCTTACATAGAACTTCATGACAGTAGAAGTTTTGAGCAACAGCAGGAAGATATTAAAGGGCAATACTGCAGAGTTGTATCAGGAATCTCATCCCCCATTAGCCAAATATAAATAACTATCACACTTGAGTATAAGAAGGGCATGAAAGTTAATGCACAAATAGGCAAACTGAGTTTAATTCTCTAAATTATACTCCCTTAAAGCAGTTCCTATAGCAAAATATTTAGGACTAAATGAAATAAAACGCAAACTCACCTTTTGCTGGCATTGTTATTTTATCAGTTCGCTTGACAGAGTCATTTTTGTCTTCACTTGCCATCTTTGCAGACCACGGTCTATCATAAGGATCCAGTGTCTAGTTGCATAGTGACAGAGGTACATGGTGGATTTGTACATTTAATTGATATGTACATTGAGTTATATAGCGTGCAGCAGGTACATACCAGGAAATACAATTAGTTGTTACAGTACAATAGCACATTACAGATATATATTAAATGTTTTTGTTCACACTGTAGTTTATTAGTGCATGTAACTTGCTGTGGAAAATGTAAGAGAAGGATTAGAATGGAAAAGATCAAACAAGTAATTTATTGATTACTTTTTTAAACTGCTTTAAGTGGAAGAGAGCTGTATTATAGCATGAAAAGGCATTCTCAACACAGTATTTTGGATTTTACATCACTTTCCATTATTGAACTCCCAACAGGCAATAAATGAAAAGATTTTCATCTAGTAACTTATTTAGTTAGAGTTCTAGATAAACTCAAAGCTGGCTTGCAACCTTTGAAAATCCAAGTGAGATGTTCACTGTACCAAGACATAGGGCAAGAGGATCAAGTGTGCAATTTGGCACAAGCTAGCTTTGCATACGGAATATTTGAGATTACATTTCCTAAAAGTGACAAAGGAATACTACAGTAATCTTCAAAATCACCCTACAGATTACGCAGGGTTTAAGATTTTCTTCAGTGAAACAAATTAAATTGTCTTCCTTATCTTTAAAACTAAAACTAAATGAGGTGCTTTTCTTTTGTTCCCCCTTTCAATGTGTTTTTCTCACACTGAAATGTAAAATTCATTAAGTTGAACAAAAGAACAAAGAACAAAGAAAATTACAGCACAGGAACAGGCCCTTCGGCCCTCCAAGCCTGCACCGATCCAGATCCTCTGTCTCAACCTGTCCCCTATTTTCCAAGGATCTGTATCCCTCGGCTCCCTGCTCATTTATGTATCTGTCTAGATACATCTTAAATGACGCTATCATGCCCGCCTCTACCACCTCCGCTGGCAACGCGTTCCAGGCACCCACCACCCTCTGCGTAAAGAACTTTCCACGCATATCTCCCTTAAACTTTTCCCCTCTCACCTTGAAATCGTGACCCCTAGTAATTGAGTCCCCCACTCTGGGAAAAAGCTTCTTGCTATCCACCCTGTCTATACCTCTCATGATTTTGTAGACCTCAATGAGGTACCCCCTCAATCTTCGTCTTTCTAATGTAAATAATCCTAATCTACTCAACCTCTCTTCATAGCTACAATTGAATGTAAGCTTCAAAACATAGTGGATAAAATTCAAGTTAAAAATCCATCATATTTGGGAAAAATGTAGTCTGATTTTGTTTTAACAAATTTCCAGGATGTTCACAATTTTTCATTTAGTTTTCCAGTTGATTCTTCAGCTTTGAGCAGTTTCATTGTTTAAAAAAATCTCATTTTTCCTCTGTTGCTACTTTTTTCTTGACATTTTATTTGTTTTTTTTATTCCTGACTTTGCACTTCGCTCTCATTACCAAACTGCAACATTTGTATTTAAAACGTAAGGCTTTCCTTGGTCCTCAACTTCTCCATTACTTCAAATGTCGTGACCAAGTTGATCCTGGCTTTTCTTTTCCACCAGACGTATCATAGTGCCATATCAACACGCTTATTATTCAAGTCTTTTTTTTTTGGCACCATCACATCTAAATTTTCAGTTTATACATTGAACTTCATAGTGCACCTTTCTTTCGTGAAAACTATTTTGGGATTATATTTTTACTGATGTTGATTTTTCAATTTTAGTCCACAATATGGGATTTGAATGGCTCAACTATTTTAACTTGACAGGTTCTTCAGTTTTGATTCAAATAAACTCAAAACCTTTCTATTTCTACTTCTTTACTTCTTTTATTTTATTTAATTTCCAAACAAACGACAGCTCTGTCCATGATACAATGTTGGCAACATGCGGTGTGACTTTTCAAATCAATTTTGTGAAGCTGAAACATCAGAAAACAATGATAAGTATACGCACCTGCCTATGTCGCTTATTATGCATGTGAGTGAAAAAGTCGAACAATGTCCCACAAATGGTATTGCAATTTTTGCACCAGTGATTCCCTGTATCATAGTATTCATACACATCTCTAGATTCAGGGAGGTTTTCACGTAGCTTCCTTGTTTTAGCATCCAACTCCTCCAAAGATCCTTTCCTTGTTGAAATCTCCTGTATTAAAACCCATAGAGATGGTCATATATAATAGCATGATTCCAAGTTTCAAACAAGTTCAAATTCACAAGGGAACTCCCTAAAAAGGTTGTCATGATATGATATGATCATTATGTGCCTTCTGTCAGAATTGTTGGAATTGCAGTTGAGTAATATACACCAGAGCAGGCCTGTACAGCACCCAAAATTTCAAGCTGGCTGGTTGAGGTAGGGTATTGCATCTTATAGAGGGGCTCAATCACGTTTGTCAAGAGTCCTGAGAATCAGTGCTCTATCCATTCAAAGAACCAAGAGAAGTAACTGCTGGAAGAGATGAAGCCAAATACAAGATCGACTTATACAAAACGAAACTTTTCAATTAAAATATGGTCAAGATCATATTATGACGTCCTTTATACGGGCCCAACATTTTTATAGCAGTCTGACGAGTAGTTTTGAATAAACATTTCAAAGTCACTACCTTTGACGATGCCAAATTTTCTTCTTTTAGCAGCACCTTTTCCAAGACATCACCTTTGTGCTTGTCAGATGATTTTGAACTTTTATCTTGAATCACCACCCCCAAGATCTGAGCCACCTTCTCCAGCTCCGATAGCTTTTTAACAGTCTCCTCAACCTGCTGACGAACTAAAGACATCTGGCGCACAATGTCTTCCTGTAGCTTGCCATTTTCAACCAGAAGAGGGTCCTTGTGTCCATCCTTCTCACGACGTTTCTTTCTTAGCAATTCCCCTTTGCACGTTTAAGGCAGAAGGGAGAGGTGAAAATTTAGTTTCGAAACTTATCACCTCAATTAATGCGCAACTCTTGAGCACACCCAGAGTCTACATCAGTGGATTCATCAACGTTTTTCAGCTTCTTGGCCAAGGGGAGTGCAGACCAAAGTTGCTGCATAGATTCAGAGACTATTGGTGTTGTGTGGATCTTAACTTTTGTGGGTTTACATTCCACCTGGAAGGGTGGTGCTGAAACACCTATGTACACCACAGTACAAATTAGGCTTTTTGAGCATTTGCCCATCATCCACCTGTTGGTGGATAAAAAAGACTGTACTGAGTCAATATCCCAGCCAGGTGTCTGTGGGCTGTTATTTTTCTCCCCAGTGTCTCAAGTGCAAAACTCTAAGACCTAAACTGAAATTTGTCGTGATTCTTACCTAAGAACATGTGTTGAGACAACAGTTAACTCCTACTGCACTGTGGTTCATACTGGGACTTGACAGTCCACAAAAACAAAAGTTCTCTTTAAAACATACAATGAAGTAAACAATTCCCACAGTAAAGAGAAAAGATGTCTGGTATAGAGGCAGTATGGAATAGTGGTCAACTACAATTATTTTATGGAATGGGGTTTTAAAAGACAGGTTAGACTGTTTTAAAGCAGCTGGTCAATAAAAGAATTACAATTACAAACACAAAGATGGATAATCACTTCTTTGTCAAACAAGCAGTGCACTTTAACACATGAACATAGTCAAAAGTTAACACGTGACAACCTGTTGCAATTTCTACCTTGCTGTTTTCGAAGTTTCTGCAGCTCATTTCCAAGATAATCCAGACGTTTCGCCCTAGCTTCTTTCTCCTTGAGGAGCTTGGCTTTCTCTTCCAGAACCTGAGTTAAACCAACGTGGTTTTAAAGATGAAAAGTTACAAGCATATAAAGCATCCTAACTAATTTGTCAAGCACATGGTCCCGAGACCCCAATCTAAGCAATGATACCTGAGAAAAATAGTAACAAACAGGCAAGATCTTTCACTTTTGGATCAAGCGTTGAAAGACTAGACTGCGGAACACAATCTCAACCAACCTAAGGGAGCATATGAACAACAGCTGTTCCACTTGGCCCTCTGAATTTGCTCCATGATTCAATAAGATCACTGGTGATCTGATTTTAACCTCAACTCTATATTCCTGCCTTTCTGAGATAATCAAGAACATATCAACCTCTCCCATAAAAATATTTAAAGATTTTGCACCCACTGCCTTTTGAGGATGGGAATTCCAAAGACTCTCAAACCTCAGTGAAATCCTCACCTTGGTCTTAAGTGAATGATCATTTAAGATCCGAGGCTAAAATCCATCAGGACCTCGGAACCTGTTAACTTGCAGTTTCTATGGTTCTAGAATCGCCGTTTCACAAAACTCTCAAATCATTCTAAGGACACATCCAGGCTACTACCAACCTGATTCGTCCAGGTTATATGTTGATTAAAATCAGCTATGACTATTGCCGTTTCTTTATTACTTTATTTTATCTTGTATACTCATTCCTGTGCTTGGGTTACCATTTAATTCAACATCATGAACTGTTAAATGGTGCTAAGTTCTTACCACTGCACTAATCCGATTCTTTGATGATGAGTGCTGCCCTTGTGCCTTTATGTAGCTTCTCATTCTTCTTCATTGTCACATACCCCTTGATATTCAGAACAAAATGCTTGTTATTTTGCAGCTACTTCTCTGTAACAACTATTCATCGCATTTGGGATGGGGCATTCCTCGCCAGTTACTGGCCATCTCTACTGACCCTACAAGTGAATGGTTTACTAGGGTGTTTCAAGGATAGTTAAGAGTCAAAAACATTGCTGCGGCTCTTAAGTCACATATAAGCCAGAACAGGTAAGGGAGGCAGATTTCTCTTCCCAAAAAGAAATGACTGAGCCAGATGGTATTTTTTCATTAAATTGAAAGTGGTTACATGGTCTCATTAGGTTAGCTTTAAATTCACTAAAATCTGGAATTGAAATTTCACAATTTGCCACAATGGGATTTGAACTCACATCCCCAGAACATTCTTCTGGAGTTCGGGATTACTAGCCAGTGATATTATCACTGCAACACCATCTCCCATATTTCTTCACTTTAACATGTGCAAGGAACGCATTTACGTTGTTATGAATGCAACTTGCCTTCAGTGCTTCTTTGGTCATCTTTGTAGAATCTCAGCTTGACTGCTGATTTATTCCTCTGTTTTTTAGATTGATTTCGATGAGGAAATGAAATATGATACTGCCAAGTTTACAGACAACATAAAATTGGGTGGGAGGATGAACCATGAAGAGGATGAAAACCAAAAGAACTGTTCTGAGGATGGATCACTGGGCCTGAAACATTAACTCTAATTGCTCTTCACATATGAAGAGGATGAACTGTAAGGATACAGAGACGCTTCAGTGTGATTTGGGCACGTTAAGAGTGAGCAAATGCACGGCAGAGGAAAAATAATGTGGATGAATGTGACGTTGTTCATTTTGGTATCAAATACAGGAAGGCAGATTATTATCTGAATGGCAACAGATTGGGAAAGAGGGAGGTGCAACAAGACCTGGGTGTCGTGGGTACCTACATGAATCACAACAACTGGAACCACCCCCTTCTACTCTGGAGTGGATGCCTCGAATCCACACAATGGACAAGCAACATAGCCTTTTGGATTCACACCTTAGATTGAAGAGAACATTGTCAATACCCTCATTATACTGTCCTGTACTACAACTGCATTGTTGCTCCCCTCTACCTTAATGACACACGTACCACAGTGCCATGATCAGTTATTTAATCTACCCTAAACTTGCAAACAAGCAGAATGAATCTCAAATCTGCTGGACAACCATAAACGCTGAGACCACTGTACTTCTGCCTCGCAAGCAGTAACACGTATTTTCCCCGTCCATTAACCAAATCACAAGATCCTATCCTAAGGGAGCATGACTGCCTCTAACTTCAAAACATCCACGTATTTTTCTCCCTCTCTGATGTGTTGCAGTGTCTACAGTTTGGCCTCCAGTTCATCAATTAAGTCTCAGCTGCTTGAGCTGTAAATATTTAATGCAAATGTCACTGGCCTAGAACAATGGCATCCATATGCTATACCTGTTATAGTCATCTGTCCTACCTTCCTTAATGTGTTTATTTAATTCCTTACTTATAGAACATAGAACAGTTACAGCACAGGAACAGGCTGTTCGGGCCACAATGTTGTGCCAAACATGACGCCAATTTACATAATCCCTTTTGTCTGCCCTTGGTCCATATCCCTCCATTCCTTGCATGTTCATATGCTTATCTAAAAGTCCCTGAAACACCCCTACCATATCTGCCTCTGCCAACACCCCTAGCAGTGCGTTCCAGACTTCTACCAGTCTCTGTGCAAAAACCTTGCCCCTCACATCTCTGAACTTTCTCCCTCTCAACTTAAATGCATGCCCCCTATTATTAGGTATTTCAACTCTGGGACAATTTGAACAATTCATTCAGTAATTTTACACATTCTATTAACCCTTCCATCAGTTCCTGCACTATTTTAAATCTTAGGACTAGATTAGCTCTGAGCCACTTAAGGTAGTAAGCAAATGGCTAACTTGCTCCTCTGTAGGAGAACAAGAAAAGAAATGAACTTATAAGGCATGGGGACCAACCAGAGGATGTTATTATCACACAGGAAGCCAACATGGACTTGATGCCCAAATGATTCTCTGGCTTCTGCTTCTCTTGGTCCTATTCTCACCAAACTGCTGGCCACTTAATGTCCCTTCCTGGCCACAATTTCTGATCATTATCACATTTTTGCTCATGGCATTTCACACACTATAGTGCATGCACTATAACAAGTACTTTAAGACACCCAGTGTGGTGAAGGCACTTTATAATGCACATCTTTTCTTTTTCTATCACTTTTTCCTCATCCCTCATCTCCCAATTACCGCCACAGGACAAAGCAATTCCTCCCTCCCTGACTTGCCTAAACTTCCACTTAGCTCAATTCCCAGTGTTTGTACTCTCTTGCCGGTCACGCTCAATGACAGTAATCTCTGAATTACTCCAAGTGCCACATGCCAGTGAGAGCAGGAATGGGAGGATAGGACAGATGAATGCGTAGTTGAGGAGCTGACGCAGGGGGCAGGCTTTCAGATTTTGAATCTCTGGGATCTCTTCTGGGACATAAGTGACTGTACAAGAGATATAGGTTGTACCTGAACTGGAAGGGGATCAATATTTTGGTGGAGAGATTTACTACAGCTACTCGAGAGTTTGAACTCATCTGGCAGGGGTTTGGGACCCTAAGCAGTAATGAGACAAGACAGAAGAGGTTGGTACAGAAGTTAAAGAGAGCAAATTAAATAGAAGACCACGGCAGAGAATGAGGGAAGACTGATGAATTAAACTGCATTTATTTCAATGCAAGAGGCCTGACAGGTAAGGCAGATGAATTTGGGGCATAGATGGGAACATGGAATTGGGATACTATAGCGACCTCAGTGTTCCGGGGTACAGATGTCATAGGAAGAATAGAAGGGAGGCAAGAGAGGAGGAGGAGTGGCATTTTTGATTAGAGAAACTATCACAGCAGTACTTATAAAGGATATTTCAGTGAAGCTATAATGGTGGAACTAAGGAATGGGGGAGATGGTTCACTTCAATGGGATTGTACAATACACCCACCAATAGTCAGGAGGAGATTGAGGAGCAAAGAGCAGATAGCTCTAAGAATAATAGGGAAGTAAACAGTAGGGGATTTTAACTTTACAAACATAGACTGGGACTGCCACAGTGTTAAGGGCTTGGATGCGGAGGAATTTGTTAAGCATGTTCACAAACACTCTCTCAATCGATATCTGGATGGCCCTACTAGAGAAGGGGCAAAACCCAACCTCCTCTTGGGAAATAAAGCAGGGCAAGTGACTGAGGTGTTGGTGAGGGAGCACTCTGGGACGAGTGGCCATAATTCTATCAGTTTTAAAATAGTTATGGAAATAGTCTGGTCCACAAGTTAAAGTTCTAAAGTGGGGCAGGCCAATTTTGATGGTCTTAGACAGGAACTTTCAAAAGTTGATTGGGGAAGGCTGTTTGCACGTAGAGGAGCATCTGGCAAGTGGGGGGCTTTCTAAAGCAAGATAATGAGAGTTCAGGGAGAGCACATTCCTGTTAGTGTGAAGGGCCAGGCTGCAGGAGTAGGGAACACTGGATGACTGGAGGTATTAAGGCTCTGGTCAAGAAAAAGGACTGATATGGAAAGCTGGGATCAAGTGAATCCCTTGAGGACTACAGGGGGTGTAGGAGAACAATCAAGAGGGAACTCAGGAGGGCAAAGAGAGGAGATGGGATAGCTTTGGTAGATAATGTTACGGAGAATCCAAAGAGATTCAACAAGTATACTAATGCAAAGAAATAACTCGAAAAAGAACAGGGCCCTCTAAAGATCACTGAGGCCATCTATGTAAGGAACCACAGGAGATGGGAGAGATCCTAAAAGAATATTTCATATCAGTATTTACTCTGAAGGAAGACAGTGGAAGCTAGGAAACTCAGGGAAATAAATGGTGATTTCTTGAAAGGAGTCCACATTACAGAAGATGAGGTGCTAGACGTCTTAAAACACATAAAGGTAGGTAAATCCCCAAGACCTAATCAAGTATATTCCAGGACATTGTGGGTAGCTACAGAAGAAATTGTGGGGCCCTAGCAGAGATACATATATCATCAACAGCCATGAGTGAAGTGCCGGAAGACTGGAGGGTGGCTAATGTTGTGCCATTACTTAACAAAGGTTGCAAAGAAAAGCCAGTGAACTACAGACCGGTAAGCCTGACGTCAGTAGCAACTAAGTTGTTGGTAGAGATTCTGAGAGACAGGATCTACATCATTTGGAAAGGCAAGGACTGATCAGGGATAGTCAGCATGGCTTTGTGCGTGGGAAATCATGCCTCACAAACTTAACTGAGTTTTTTTGAAGAGCTGACCAAGAACATACTTGAAGGCAGAGCAATAGATGTTGTCTACATGGATTTTAGCAAGTCCTTCGACAAGATTCCGCATGGTAGGCTGGTTAGTAAGGTTAGATCATCTGGGATCCAGGGGCAACCGGCCAACTGGATACAAAATTAGCTTGACTGTAGGAGACAGTGGTAGAGGGTTGCTATTCAGACTGGAGGCCTGTGACTAGCATGTGCTGCAAGGATCATTGCTGGGTCCACTGTTGTTCATCATTTATATAAACTATTTGGATAAGAATATAGGAGACATGGTTAGTAAGTTTGCAGATGATACCAAAGTTAGTGGTATAGCAACTAGTAAAGGTTAGCTAAGAGTACAATGGGGGCCAAGGAATGGCAAATGGAGTTCAATTTAGATAAATGTGTGTTGCATTTTGGTAAGACTAACCAGTGCAGGAATTACAGAGTTAATGGTAGGGCTCTGGGGAGTGTTGCAGAATAGAGAGAGCAAGGGATGCAGGTATACAGTTCCTTCAAAGTGGTGTCACAGGTGGACAGGGTGTTTTAAGGCAGCATTTGGCACTCTCGCCTTCATCAGATACTGCATTGAGTACAGGAGTCAGGACATCATGTTACAGCTGTAAAAGACACTGCTAAGGTCACATTTGGAGTACTGCATATAATTCTGGTATAGGAAGAATGTGATTAAACTGGAAAGGATGCAAAAATGATTTACAAGTTACCGAGACTGTAAGGTTTGAGCTATAGCTACCTAGAGGTGCAGGTGCACAGCTCCTTGAAAGCCGCGTCGCATGTAGACAGGGTGGTGAAGGCGGTGTTTGGCATGTTCACCGTTATTGGTCAGAGCACTGAATATAGAAGTTGGCACGTCATATTGTGGCTTTATTGGACATTGGTGAGGCAACATTTGGAAAACTGCCTATAATTCTGGTCGGCCTGCAATAGGAAGGATGTTTTTACACGATAAATGGTGCAGTAACAATTTACAAGGATGGAGGTTTGAGTTATAAGGAGAGGGTGGTTAGGCTGGGACTTTTTTTCCCTGAAGCGTAGGAAGCAGAGGGGTGGCCTTATAGAGGATTATAAAATCATGAGAGACATATACAATGTGAATAGCCAAGCTCTTTATTCTCAGGGTAGGGGGGGTCCAAAACTAGACGGTGTAGGTTTAAGGCGAGAGGGGAAAGATTTCAAAGGGACCCGAGGGGCAAATTATTTACACAGAGGGTGGTGCATATCGAATGAGCTGCCAGAGGAAGTGGTGGAGGTGGGTACAATTACAACATTTAAAAGACATTTGGATAGGGAAGGTTTAGAGAGATATGGACCAAATGTAGGCAAGTGGGATTAGTTCAGTTTAGGAAACCCGGTTGCCATGGAGAAGTTGGACCAAAGGGTCTGTTTCCATGCTGTGTGGCTCTATTCCGCCTTCCCTTTACATCTTCTAGGGAAACACTGTAAATAACTCCAAAGTCTCCAGCAACGCACAAGAGTACACCAGAGCCAAGGTGGCCTCAAAATTTCCTCTAGGAATTTGACAATGGACTGCCCAACTGCATGGCAGAGGCAAAGAATTTCTATCAACCATGGATCCCAGTTTCAATGCTCTGTTGTGCAGCAGAATTACAAATTAACGTAACATATTTCTAACTGCAAGGTCCATTCTCCACACTTGAATTTCAGTAAAGTATCATTAATGTATCAATAAAGTATCAATAAAGAATTTCAAATAATATCAATAAATAACTTCCAAATATGAAGACATCACTAGAGTGTCAGAGTCATAGAGCACGGTCAAAACAACCATGTAACTACTCTAATCACATTTTCCTGCATACGGCCCACAGCCTTACACATCTTGGCATCACAAATGCACATCTAAATACTTCTTGCATGTTCTGAGAATTTCTGCTTCTGCCACCCTTGCAGGTTGACATTTCCAGATTCCCACCATTCTCTGCGTAAAAATTTTTCCTCACATCTCTTCTAAACCTTGTAGAGTCATAGAGCCAGACAGCATGGAAACAGACCTTCGGTCCAACTAGCCCACACCGACCACGTTCCCAAACTAAACTAGCCCCACGTGGCTGCTCCTGGCTCATATCCCTCCAGGCCTTTGCAATTCATGAACCAATCCAAATGTCTTTTAAATGCTGTAACTGTACCTGCAACCACCACTTTCTCTGGCAGTTCATTTCATACACGAACCGCTCTGTTAATTTGCTGACCCTCGTACCCTTTTTAAATCTTTTTCCTCTCACCTGAAAAATATGCCCTCCAGTTTTGAACTCCCCCCACCCTAGAGCAAAGATGCTGTCATTCACCTTATCTATGACCCTCATGATTTTATAAATCGCGAAGATCACCCCTCAACCTACTATGCTCCAGTGAAAAAAAGTACCAGCCTTTCCAGTTTGTTTTTATATCTCAAACCCTCTATTCCCCGCAACATCCTGGTAAATCTTTCTTGAATCCTGTCCAGTTTAATAATGTCCTTCCTATAACAGGGCAACCAGAACTGCGCACACTATTCCAGAAGTGGCCTTACCAAGATTCTGTACAACCTCAACATGACGTCCCAACTCCTATACCCAAAGGTCTGAGCAATTGATGGCAAGTATGCTCAATGCCTTCTTAACCACTCCTTCTTTCCCTTAAATCTATGCCCCCTGGTCACTGATCTCTCCAGCAAGGGCAGATGTTTCTTCTTTGCTCCTTATCTAAGCTTCTCATAATTTTATACATCTCAATCATGTACCCGCTCAATCTCCTTCGTTCCAAAGAATACAATCCCTGTCTATCCAATCTCTCTTCATAACTGAAACTCTCCAGCCCAGGCAGCATGGTAACATCTCCTCTGAGCCCTCGCCAGATAAAATCCCTTCCCTTCTATGGTGTGATTCCAAAACTGCACACAGAAGAGACATCTTTTAGGATCAAAAGCTATTCCATCTCACTATTCCAATCTCATTTCCAAAGCACAAGAGAAATCTTTCAACTTAGCTTTCCCACTAAGAGAGCAGTAAGAAAAATTAAATCCTCTTTCATGTTAGACAAAGACACACAAACACAGACAAACCTTTTGCTTCTGTTCAGATTTCCTCTTCTCCTCCTCTGCAAAATTGGGCATCAGCATCATCCGATTTGAGGATGCTACCGGAACTTGGCTCAAAGTAGGTGTTGTCTGCACTTGCACCAATACAGAATTCTTTTGCTTGTGGTCTGCAATGTCTTCAGGATCATTAACTGTTTCAATGACCCTTAGATTTGGTCGGGTGACCTTGGGCGGCTGCATAACCACAAACATTCGATTGTTTGGTTGCTGAGCATATGGCTCAGTAACTTGTGAAGGTGGGTACATTGGCCAAGTTGGGGCAGACAATGAGACATAAGGGTCATATTGATTATAGTTTGGTGGCGGTGCATTTAGTGGATAATTTACTGGAGGTGCTGGATATTGCCCGTAAGGTGGCATGGCATAATTTTGTGATGGGATTGGCAATAAACCAGGTTTATGGACTGTTGGGATTACTGTAGGACATCGTGCTTTCTCAGGCTCTTTTGCTGTTTCTCGATTAAACGACTCCTTGCCTTCTCTCACCACAGGACCCAAGGTATTTTCCAGTTTGTGTGACCTCGTTCGTGTTTGTGTATGAGGTTCTGGTGATTTTGCCTCATTTCGGCTTCTTCGCTTCTCCCAGGAAGCAGTTTTGTGAGGTCCTAGTGGGTGTTCAGGTGATCGAGTTACAGGTTTTTTCCCATGCAGTCGTTCCTCAGTACGGGCTGCCAGTTTGCTGATCTCTGTTACTCCTATATCGAGTCCAATGGTCTTCAGTAAATCATGGATCTTTTCATATTCTTTCTCAGGTTTTGCACTTGCCAAGTTAGATGCTCCTTCAGGCAGACTGGTTTGTCTTACAGGAAGGAGATTCCGGTTTGCAAGAGCATCTCTATGTTTCCCACCTTCTGCTTTCTCTTCCTCATCTTCTCCATAGAGAAACCTTTCCTCATCCTCTATATCTGGAAAATTATGCTTCCTCCTCTCTTCTAAGTTCCCATTTTCAGATTCTTCTAATAAGCCAAGTATACGACAGAAACCACGGCCATCTTGACTAGCCCGTTCATGTGGAAGAAGGAAGTCTGAAACCCGGTCCTGAATCTCAGACCTTTCCAAATTTGATTTTGTGCCAATCTTAGCTGGAACATCCCTCTCAAAAAAGAAATTGGTATTGGACAGACCAGGGACACCTCCCTGATCAGTGATTTGATGAATTTCTCTCGTGTCTTGCATGAAAGAGAACTGTTCAGTCTCAGCATAACTTGATTCATGCTGTGGTAACCGTGTGAAACCTTGCGGTGAAACATAATTTTTCTGCTGCTCAGGGCTTTCCTTGACTGTGGCACCATGATACTCATCAAACTAAATTAAAAGAAACAAAATAGGGACAACAAGTCAAGTTAGATGGTCACATTTTCAAACGCCTTATTATTAACACTGATTGCTGGAGATTCATGCAGTTAAAATGCAGCTTTTTAACTGAAAAAGTGAACAAAGGTAGTATGAACTTGGCCTTTTGCAGCATTGTACCTTCCTATTCTTGAATGGGCTCGTGTTGAAAAACTGGTCTGGAGAACGAAGGAATGTTAAATTTGCCAGTTACGAACTGTTTCCAGCCAAGGCCCAACTATGAGAAGGGGCTGTGATCAATGCCGGACTAAGGGTATTGTAATTCACAGAATCCTGACAGTGTGGAAGCAGGCCAATTGGCCCATCGAGATCACACTGACCCTCCAAAGAACATTCCACCCAGACACACCTCTACCCTATCTATCTGTGTAACCCTGCATTTCCCGTGGCTAATCCACATAACTTATACAGCCCTGGAAACTACGGGTAATTTAGCAATGCCAATCCACCGAACCTGCACATAGAGTCATAGGGCTGTACAGAATGGAAACAGAACCTATGGTTCAACTCGTCCATGTCGCCCAGATATCCTAAATTAATCCCATTTGCCAGCATTTGGCTCATATACATGTTAACTCTTTCAATTCATATACCCATCCAGATGCCTTTGAAATGTTGTAATTGTACTAATCTCCACCACTTCCTCTGGCAGCTTGTTCCATACATGCACCACCCTCTATGAAAACATTGCCATTTAGGTCCCTTTGAAATATTTCCCCTCTCACTTTAAACTCATGCCCTCCAGTTTTAGACTTCCCCACCCTGGGGGAAAAAAACCTTGTCTATCTGCCCTATCCATGTCCCTCATGATTTTATAAACCTCGATAAAGGTCACCCCTCAGCCTCCGACACCCCAGGGAAAATAGCCCCAGCTGATTCAGCCTCTCCCCATAGCTCAAACCTTCCAACCCTGGCAACACCCTTGTAAATCTTTTCTCAACCCTTTCAAATTTCACAACATCCTCTCTATAGCAGGGAGACCAAAACCGAATGTAGTACTTGAAAAGTGGCCTAACCAATGTCCTGTACAGCTACAACATGACCTCCCAACTCCTATATTCAATGCACTGACCAATAAAGGCAAGCATGCCAAACGCCTTCTTCACTATCCTGTCTACCGGTGAATCCACTTTCAAGGAACTACAAACCTGCACTCCAAGTTCTCTTTGTTCAGCAACACTCCTCAGGACCTTACCATTAAGCATACAAGTCCTGCCCTGATTTGCCTTTCCAAAATGCAGCAAATTACATTTGTCTGAATTGTTCCATCTGCCATTCCTCAGCCCATTGGCCCATCTGAACAAGGACCTGTTGTAGTCTGAGGTAACCTTCTTCGCTGTCCACTACACCTCCAATTTTGGTGTCATCTGCAAACTTACTAACCATACCTCTCACGTTCACATCCAAATCATTTATACAAAATGATGAAAAGCTGTGGACCCAGCACCAATCCTTGAGGCACACTGTTGGTCACAGGCCTCCAGTCTGAAAAGCAACCCTCCACCACCACGCTCTGCCTCCTACGTTCAAGCCAGTTCTGTATCCAAATGGCTAGTTCTCCCTGTATTCCATGTGATCTAACCTTGCTAACCAGTCTACCATGAGAAACCTTGTCAAACACCCTACTGAAGTCCATATGGATTACGTCCATGGCTCTGCCCTCATCAATACGCTTTGTTACTTCTTCAAAAAACTTAATCAAGTTAGTGAGACACAATTTCCCAAGCATAAAGCTATGATACCTATCCCTAATCAGTGCTTGCCAATCCAAATACATGTAAATCCTGTCCCTCAGGATTCCCTCCAATAACCTGCCCACCACTGATGTCAGACTCACCTGTCGATAGTTCCCTTGCTTTTCCTTACCATCTTTCTTAAATAGTGGCATCCCATTAGCCAACCTCCAGTCTTCTGACACCTCAACGGTGGCAATCGATGATACAAATATCTCAGCAAGGGGCCCAGCAATCACTTCCCTAGCTTCCCACAGAGTTTAGGGTACACTTGATCAGATCCCTGGGATTTTTCCACCCTTATGTGTTTTAAGACGTCCAGCACTTCCTCCTCTGCACTTTGACATTTTTTAAGATGTCACGATTTATTTCCCCAAATTCTCTATCTTCCATATCCTCCTCCACAGTAAACAGTGATGCAAGATACTCGTTCAGTATCTCCCCAATCTCCTCCAGTTCCACACAGAGACGGCCTTGCTGATCTTTAACAGGCCTTATTTTCTCCCTAGTTACTCTTTTGTCCTTAATGTATTTGTAGAATCCCTTTGGATTCTCCTTAACCTTATTTGCCCTCCTGATTTCCCTCTTAAGTATATCGCTGGACTGTAGGAGGAAATCAGAGCATCCAGAGGAAAACCATGGAAACACGGGGAGAATGTGCAAACGACATACAGACCTGGGTCCTGGCACTGTACTAACCATAAATGCGCACCGTATACAAACAAGGTAAAGGAGCTTGTAGCACAGATTGAAATTGTCAGAACGATGTCGTGTGTATCACAGGGATGTGGCTGCAAGGGGATCAATGCTTGGGACTAAACTTTCAAGAATACTCATCCTATCGAAAGGATGGGAGATGGGCAGAGGAGGCAGGGTAGCCTTGTTAGTAAGAAATGAAATTAAATTGATAGCAAGAAGCGACTTAGGGTTGAGAGGTAGAAAACTGGGTAGAGTTGAGGAACTGCAAAGGGAAAAAGACCCAAATGGGAGTGACATATAGGATTACTAGCAGTAGTCAGGATGTGGGGCAGAAATCAGGAGATAGAAAAGGTGTGTAAGAAAGGCACTATTTCAATAATCATTGGGAACTTCAATATGCAGGTGGATTGGTAAATCAGGTTGCTAGCAGATTTCAAGAAAAGGAATTAATGAAATGTCTACAAGATGGCCTTTGGAGCAGCTTGTGGTAGAGTCCACTAGGAAACAGGCAATTCTGGATTTGATGTGTCAATAGGGCAGACTGATTAGGGAGCTTCAAGTGACGGACCCCCATGGGGGTGGGGGGTGCGTGCGTATGAAAGACTTTGCCCCGTAGTTTGAGAAGGAGATGGAATCAGATGTAACGGTACTACGATTGAGTAAAGGTAACTACAAAGACATGCGGGAGGAGCTAGCCAGAGTCAATTGGAAGGAGAGTCTAGCAGGGAATGAAGGTCTTGTCAGTAGAAGGAGCCATGATGCCGAGGTGCCGGTGTTGGACTGGGAAGAACAAAGTCAGAAGTCAGAGCAAGGGGATATGTTCTGAAAGCTTGTGATTTCAAATAAACCTGTTGAACTATAACCTGATGTCGTGCAACTTCTGAATATAAGGAGCAGTTGAGGACTTTGAAACTGTACTTCTGAGTTTAGAAGGATGTGGGAGATCTCACTCAAAATTACAGAATACTGACTGGCCTGGAAAAACAGTAGGCGTGGAGAAGATATTTTCACGAATAGGACAGGCTAGGACCCAGGAGCACAGCATCAGTGGAAGGACAACCCTTCAGAACTGAGATGGAGGAGGAATTTCTTCAGCTACAGGATGGTGAATCTGTGGAACTCACTGCCACAGAAGTTGCGAAGACCAAGTCAATGAGCGTATTTAAGACAGAGATAGATAGGTTCTTGATTAGTAAGAGGATCAAAGATTACAGGGAGAAGGCAGGAGAACAGGGTTGAGAAACCATCTTATATCTTACCCATACAATCAAATTTTGGTCTGTATCCTAATATTAAGGCAATGTGTAAAGTATTTGAGAAGACTTGTTGCTCGGGTTGTGGGTGAGGTTGCAGACTTGCTCATCGAACCGGCGTGTTTGGTTGCAGACATTTTGTCACCCTGCTAGGTAACATCGTCAGTGCGCATCCAATGATGCATTGGTGCTCTGTCCCGCTTGTTATTTAGATGCCTTGGTTTGCTGGGGTGGTTGATATTACTTCTGGTTCTGTTTTTTCAGGGGTTTGTATATTGGGTCCAGATCAATGTGTTTGTTGATGGAGTTCCGGTTGGAATGCCAGGCCTCCAGCAATTCCCTGGCATGTCTCTGTTTGGCTTGTGCTATAATGGACGTGTTGTCCCAGTCAAATTCGTGAGTTTCTTTGTCAGTGTGTATTGAGACCAGTGAGAACTGGTCATTCCTCTTGGTGGCTAGTTGGTGTTCGTGTATCCTTACTGTCAGTTTTCTTCCAGTTTGGCCTATGTAATGTTTTTCACAGTCCTTGCATGGTATTTTGTATGTTATGTTAATTTTAAAAGGTTGTGGGAATGGGATCCTTTACCTTTGGCAGTAGTTGTCGCAGGATGGTTGTTTGTGGGCTACCCTGATTCCTATGGGTTTGAGTAGTCTAGTGGTCATCTCTGATATGTCTATAATGTATGGTAGGGTGACCAGTGTATCTGGCCACGTTGTGTCTTCTTGCTGTGGTCTGTCGCGGAGTCAACGGCGGATTGTGCTTTTTGGGTATCCATTCCTTTTACAAACTCCGTATAAGTGCTCCTGTTCTGCTTTGCGCAATTCCAGATTGTTGCAGTGTGTTGTCGCCTGTTTGAATAATGTCTTGATGCAGCTCCATTTATGGGTGTTGGGGTGGTTGCTGGAGTAATTAAGTATCTGGTCCGTATGTGTGGTCTTTCTGTATATGTAGTCTAGAGTTTCCTGTTGCTCTTATGTTCCACCATTATGTCTAGGAGGAGTAGTCAGTTATTGTTCTCTGCATCTTGTGTGAATTTTATTCCGGTGAGGATGTTGTTTATGTGTCAATGGGTTTACTCTAGTTTTGTGCGTTTGATAATCATGAAGGTGTCATCTACATAGCAGACCTAGAGTTTGGATTGCATAGTGGGGACTACTGTTCGTTCTAACCATTGCATTACTGCTTCTGCAATCAGTCCTGATATCAGGATCCCACTGGTATTCTTTTGATTTGTTTGAACATACAGTCATTGAAGGTGAAGTGCGT